AAATATTAGTTTAATATTAATCAAAATTTCTATTGCTCAAGCTGTTACGTTCAAAGATTAGACTGAAAAAAAAAAAAAACAATCGTCAGAAATACTTTATGCAGGTGACTTTTAATGTGCTTCAAAATGATTTTTCAGTTTTCTTTTGGATAAGAATTTAAAATGCATGAGTTTAAAATGAATTCCCACATCATACATTGGTTATTGTTATTTTTATATTTCAGGTTAACTGCTGTTTTCTTTCTTTATCGCAACATATTCTTGTTCTTTTGATTACCAAAACAAGGAGCAAATAACATTTTGGCTTTCTGAAACAGTATTTTCTGGATAAAAAAAACCCCAAAAACCTTCTGTTCATAATATCACCATCTATTAGGCATTCATTTTAGCATAATGAGCAAGAAGCTTATTCTCGCCTCTGCAGTTGTTGAAAACAACACTAGTGAATCACAAGTCTGACAGCAAAATGAAACTAAAAATACCAGTTAAGTAAGTTTAATGTGTCCACTTCCTTCAGAGCTAACCGTTTTCAAATTTACCAAATTTTTCAGAAGCATAAGTTTTGGGTTTTTGATTAATAAAGCAGTCCAGCCAAAGCAGTGATATCTGTCAGTGTTTTCTGTAAGGTACTCCATATTCAAAGCAATAAAACCCAAATGGGAGCCACAGTGTAAATTAACATCCACCAAAGTACAAAGTCAGAAGAATAACACAAAGAAAAATTATTTCAGAAAAAGTACAACTACAGGCCGAGAGCTGTCTTTGATATGAAGAACCATACAGCATTTCCCCAAATTCGAATATTTCTGTTGTCCTTTTTCGTTTGCATGTTCACAAAGTTTTGGTTGCAGTCACTGACATAACAGTGTCAATATGGTGATGGCGACTGTTCACAAAGTTTTGGTTGCAGTCACTAACAGTGTCAATATGGTGATATATATGTCAATTCTGTCATTTCAGATTTCCCGGAAAGTCCAAATTGGCCATTAAAATGTGTTTGCGTGTCTGTGTGTGTGTGTGTCTGTGATACAAGTACAAATGACCTATGAACCCTGAAAAGATCAGGCCCACTTTACAGACAGGGGTCTGGTCGGTGTCTGATTGGAACAAGAATGGAGGGCTCATTATTGGTCTCTCACTGTCAGTCTCTGAGGCGTCAATGACACCGAGGACTCGGTGATTCTCTTTCACCTTCCCCACCAAGTCCACGAGAGACCAGAATACAGAGGGAGGATTGAGGAGGAGGAGAAACATCAGCGGGGGAACAGAGAGTAGATAAGGAACAAAAATAAAGACTGAATATGTTCTTCCTCTTCAATACCTGATGGAACTTCTAACTATAGTTGTTCAAACTTTTTCTCCACTGGGGACCAAATATGATGATATAATACTCAGGGGCCAACTGCCTGTGTGGTGGAAGCTAAAATTGTAATTAAGTTGAATACCAATGCACTGCATACATTTATGTAATAAAACTTTAGTTTTTAAATACAGTCAACAGTACTCTAGCAAAGCTGTGAATATATCCAGGTGGAGGCTGTAATAGAAAACATTTGAAAATCTCTGCTTCAAAAAGTGGAAATAAACAATATTTGTACTTGTGACCTAAACTATTAAGATATGAACTTGAAAGTTCCAAAATGATAAAAATAACAAAAATGAATAAAATAATTATAATTTTGCAAAAATTTCAGGAAAAATACCTATGGGTGAGACTGAAGAAAATTGCCAAAAACAAAAAACACATCTAGCATACCATAAGTAAGTATGGTAGCTGAGTTAGCTAAGGTATGCTACATGTTTTCTAAAAATATATATACATACAAAATTGTAAGATAAAACTTGGATAACAATGCAATGAAATCTCTTCATTAATCAATGATCTGGGTAAAAATGGTTCCCTTTTACATCACATGTAGGTTGTTTTTAAATAATAAGTTAATTAAACCCAATCAAGTGACTGTTTGGTTCCGGGGCCTAATTTTTAGTCTTGCTGTGACTATGAAGGAAGATGTCTGACAGGATATAAAAACTAAGAGGTTGTTATTAAGACTGAGTGAGCTCTGTGCTGAAAAGGGAGTAAAAAAAAAACAGATTTTAATCAGCACTGAATGACCGTGGATCCATTAGTCTATCCCTGGACTAAATTAAACAGTAGACAGGATCAATTGAGCTTCATAATCTAGCAGTGAGAGAGATGGTTCCCTCTGCAAGAAAGGGTCAAGTACCCAGGTCCAGTGCATGGAACACGCTTTAATTTGACTTAATAATGGAGTCTCGACTTCAGAGAAATGCCTCGCACATACAGCATCAATGGATAAAAAGCCGATTTGTCTTTGAGTGCTGATGCCTATTTTTCCTCTCCGTCTCTCGTTCTCTTTGCTGAAAGAGATTGCTTTAATAGAGTCGGGTACCAGGCAACAGGAAGTATGTATTAGAGGTGAATAAAATGTCTGGTGTCTCTTTGTTTGGAGGTAAAAGATGGATGCAAAAGTGAAATAAGCTTCATACGCTTTCCATCTGGCTGCACTGTGTTCCTTAAAGCGATGTTTTCCATGTCCACAATGAATCAAGTAACTGGAAGTGATGGAAAATGAGCGGCTCATCGCTCATATTGATTAATCTACATCCCAGCAAAGAAGCTTTTACCTCGCGAATTTGCATTTACGACACACCACTGGCTCGGTTCAGTCTTGGTGCTCTCATCAACTTTAGCGGCAGGCAGCTGTTTACTGCGAACATGGTCTGATAAAGCCATTGTACACAGGCTGTCCAGCAGCAAACACCGGACAGACAGCTCACAAGCAGATGGTGCAGGGAGTGGAACGTGTAGCAGCCGAAGACGTGGATATTTTAGGCACACTATGGGAGACCACACCAGGACTAAATGGTGTCTGCATCCATCATCTGTTTGATGTACAGAAAGGAAGCTGCTTGCAGATGAATTTTAAAGGTGCATCATTATGTTCAAAGTGAATGTAAAGATTTGACAGAGCCTGGATGAGATGCAAATCAGACCGGCTCTGTGCTGGGTGGAAAATATTTAATCTGCACCCCAAAAAGTTATCTTTGAACTTTAATCTGCTTTACAAATGCCGACAGAGGAGGGTGATGAAAGAGGGAATGAGAAAAAAGTGTAAATGTGAGCCACCTAATTACAGTGGGGCAAGATTCTTATTCATGTTTCCATTTTGTTTAGACCCAAACCAAAAAAGTAATCGGTGAATCAAGGTCAAATACAGTAAACCAATTGTCTTTTTAATATCATTAAAAGGGTGCAGACACCCTGGTGAGTGGTTAAAAAGTAAATGAGTAGTGGTTGAGGTGGTTATCTAGTCATAAAATCAGATACTGCTTTTTGGTGTTATTCTCAGCTATGTAGTACCTGTCCTTAGCACAAATACATATAAGAGAGTTGTATACTACGTAAAACAAAAGGAAAAAAAAATACAGTCAAATACATATAAGAGAGTTGTATACTATGTAAAACAAAAGGAAAAAAAAACAGTATAAGAGGGAAAGAAATTATTATTATTATTATTTTTTTTGGCAAACTCTTACATAAACGTTAAAGATTTACAGATGGCTAAATAACCTAGATAAAGTGTAAGGTAAATCCGGCTGGTCTTTCTGTATATTTCGTGGAAAATCTTGATTACCTAAGTGTTGTTTGAATGTTTATGGTGGTTAGTTAACTAAACCAACCTATAACAACCTGTGAATTGGGATCCTGTTAAATCTAAAACAGAGTGGGAGAACATATTGTATGATTGGACAATGGTAATAGCTAAGTGTACTCAAAGGAGTCTGCTGGAGCCTTACATCGAATCACACAGTTATGTGATGCACCCTTCAGCACCTCCATAAGGCGATTTATACAAATTGATAAACTGCCTGTCTTTTTCATATGCGGTGGCTCCACTACTCGTCGGACACCACCCTCTGTGTCACCTCTTGTACACATCATTTAAAACAAACATCACACCAGATCGAGGGAGTTTATCATCCACAATACCTCAACTGTTTTCGACCACAAGTCACTGCAGCTGCTAATGACTGGAACATCTTGCAAAACCCCCTCAAACTCATCACTGACTTTCATCAACACTTTCAAGATTAAAAATCAAACGAGTCCTTTTTGGTTGTTGCTCCTGCAGATCAACTAGGTTCACATGTGCATATGGTCTTTTTTGCTTATCTAGCCTTCACAAAATCTGATTTTATGTTGACTTGAGTGGTTCTCTTCGCTCAATATATTTTTATGTTTTTAACACATGATTCCCCCAAGATCAATTTTCATGATAAAAAAATATGCAGCAGTTTCAACAAAAAATTTAAAATCCACCTTAATACAATACTGATCTAAAAGCAGTGATAAACAACAATTAAAGGGACAGTGAAGAGAGCGTTACAGAATGGCTGGGTGTAGTCACCATCACAACATCTATGGGGTCAGAGTACTTACTGACTTACCCAACACATACACACAATTAAATAACAAACTATAAGGGCAAAAACATAGACAGAAAAAACATACAAAATGAAAACAAACACACTTAAGAAGAGTGTGAAGCTCAGGTGAAAAACCCTGAAATGTAAATAACAAAAAGAAACTTAAGCTAACAAAATCAAACCAATGAGAGGACAACATTTCAATTTAAAATGATACAAAAAATTAAACAACACCAAAACATAAACAAAACAATGCCAACACAACAACAGCAGCAGCAGTGGCAGTCTGTCTAATAAAAGACGAAAACAGATCAAATACTCCAACATACATCCAAACAAATCCTGAACAAATGAAACTTGACGTGTGTGACTCTAGTTGTAGAAGTAGGGGACTATGTTTAACAGCAACAGGACCCACAACAACAGACCCACAACAACATTCATCAATAAACTTAAAACACATGGCTAACCCAGGTGGTCACCTAATAATCACACCTAGTGGCCAGAAATGGGGATGCAGCAAGAGAAGAGAGATATGTTTTGCTTACCTGTGGGTCTCTATCCTGACAAACATTTCACAGCCACATGGAGGAAGAGGGAATGGCAGGTGTGGTCCCACCTCATATAAATGGTCATAGTGCCCCACCCCTCAATTAGGTTGCTCTGCCATTTGGCATGGTGACATCTAGTGGCAGGGAGGGGGAGGGGGTTACATAATGGAGTAAAATATTTGGACTCCCATTTGGCATGGTGACATCTAGTGGCAAGGAGGGGGACAGTCTGTTACATAATGGAATAAAATATTTGGACTCTTTTAGGTCAACGGCCTCATGGCCAAGTCGTGTTCCTAAATGAGAGCTGGTTCTCATTTGCAAGTGAACTGTTGCATATTATTCAACCAACCATCAGGGGGAATGGGAAAAGAGTAATATAACAAACTTGAAATGTTTCATGTTCATTTGTAAGCTGCAGTTTCTTCTTCCCAAACCTCTGCTTCTGCGAACAAACTGTATTTATCACAGAGGAACGAGAGTCAGCAGCACTTATGAGAACAAACAGAACAAAAATGGAAACTCATTCTGAGAGAAACGAGGAAAGATAAAATGTGCCAGTACCACCCACACTGTTTGATTGACAGAGCACCAGGGAGAGGGATGAACAATCAGCACAACAACCAGAAGCACTTGGCTGGGATGAAGAGGGGAAACTAAATAGAACGTGTTTGCAGATGCACGGCTGCACGTCTGCAGCAGAGAGCACTGACAACACTCCAACCAGTCTGACACACAGCGTCATGTTTTTTTTCTCAACGCATGAACTGCAGAGGGGTTACTGTACTGCAACACTAATGTCCTTAGTGAACTGCAATAACATTTTCACTGGCAAACGCACAAACCATGCGTTCCAAGCTATTTTGAGCTTTCTACGTATTGTAGGAAGTAATGTTCTGACTTTATTAGTACATGAATGATTCACAGGGAATGCAAAACAATGTAACCGAGTCTTACATCATTCTCTGAAGTTTGCCACCTGCCATGGCTCACTAGTCAACGCTTACCTTTGAAAGTTGACATTTTTAAAAAGAAGTCAAACAATGTAGTTTTACTGCAGGAATTTGTCAGCTGCAGCTAAAAAGGCAGTAAAGATGGGCATTTTTAAAAAGAAGTCAAACAATGTAGGATGAAATATTTGTTTTTTGTTTTTTTGGGGGGCGGGGGGTTCTCAATATGTGGCCTTCCCACTTGCATGTTTTACTGCAGGAATTTGTCAGCTGCAGCTAAAAAGGCAGTAAAGATGGGCCGACGAGGGACACACACACACACACACACACACACACGACAAGAGCTTCAAAAGTGAAGCCAAAACTAATACAATCCTCTCCGGCTGTGTGATTAGTCATAAACTTTCCCTCAGATCTGTGAGCAGATATAGTACATGACCTAAGATTAAAGTTCTGATGTATGAGTGAAGGTGTGATTTCAAGGACTGAACAGGTCAACACACTCACTGATGGATTTGGCCTTGTGTTTTTTTATGGGTGTTTGTGTTACCGATTAAACATGCATCTGTATAATGTTACTTTTCTCAGAAAGATGGATGGATGGATGGATGGATGGATGGATGGATGGATGGATGAATGGATGGATGGATGGATGGATAGATAGATAGATAGATAAACTATTTCAATCAAATATATATAGTTTAATAGTGGCAATAAAACTAGACTATAAATCTTTCCAAATATTATGTTAATTTGAGGACCACAAGCTGGAAAACTGGGTAGGCAACAGTTGCCGTCAGAACATGTCCTGGTTCAGCTCAACAGCATTTTCACTGACACACTTACATCCAGGCGATATTTTTCTTTCTCTTTCACAAAGCAAATATTCACAGGTGTGAATAATCCACAAGTGTTAGATCGTAATTTGTCCAATATGTTGCTGACAAATTGCTAGGAGACACTATTTAAAGTTTAGAGACAAACTGTTTTCTCATCTGTACATGATTAAATTGTGTTTCCTTGTGGGATTTGTCTGTTTTTCTTGTTATTTCTTATCACATATATTAGCAGTTATTTACTGTCAAACATTTGTTGAGTTTTCCTCTAGTCCAGGAGTTCTCTGCTAATCTATAATTACTAAAGTTTACTTTGTTTTACTTCAATCTTTCAGAAAGAATGCAGTCCTAAGGCCAATTAAATCAGGTCTAAATCAAATGACCACAATTTCCTCTATTCCTTTATTGCCTTCACATAACAGAGGTGCATTTAATGTCATTGAAAAGCGTAGTTAATCAGTAGTCCTAACTGGGGTCCTAACAACCAGAAGGTGTCCTTTTTTGTGTGGGTGTTTTTTCCTGGTAAAGTTTGTTGGTTCTCTTTGTGATACACTCACATGATACATCTAAAATACTACATACTAGTATAAAATATATTTGGAGAGACATGGTGTTTCCGATAATGAGAATTGGTAGCAGTTAGCTCGCCTGCCTTGCAAGCAGAGCGTTGGGGGTTTGATTCCCAGAGGAACCACATATCCCTTAAGTTGTTCCACAGTGTAGCGGTTAGCACATCTGCCTTACAAGCAGTTAGACCTGGGTTCATAAAAATAAATAAATATATAAAAATCCTTTGGGGGCTCACTATCTCCAGTTACCTTCATGGCTGAGGAACAATGAGACAGCACAGTAACTGGCTGTCAGGTGCAGGATCTCAATCATTTTTGTCCACATCATCTTCGTGCTTATCTAATGCAGTGAAGGTCCCATGGAGGATATTTGAGGGTTTTCCAAGCCATAGCTTCATTATCTATCCAGCTTCTCCTGGGTCCTGGACCTCCAGGGAAGGTCCTTAGAGTCAGCCATTGGAAATAGAAATAGGTCAAAGTGATTTATTGTCATTGTGACACAAAACACCACTGCACACAACAAAATGTGTCCTCTGTCTTTAACCCATCACCGTAGTGAGCAGGGGGGCAGCTCAAGCCAACACTAGAGTGCCAGTTGCTCTGCATATGACTAGCACCAACCACCACCGTACTGAAACCCTTCAACTTCTTCTGAAATCACAGGTGGATCTGCTGGAGGCCAGTCACATGACGCTAAACATGCTTCTATGTCCTTCTATGTCCTCATCAGGGTGGTCTTCTTACGACTAATGGGACCTGTTGAGAGAGAATGAGGTGTATTTGCAGGATTCTTGCCAATATAACTAGTTGTGTCGCAGAATCTTCCAAAGCAGAGAACTTCTACACTAAAACAAAGCTCCTAAGTATGTTTAATTCATAATACGACTGTTGTTATACTTGTTCAAACAAAAGCTCCTGGTAACAACTTCAAAGGCCATTTGCCGCCATCACTCTTCATTGAAATAGTGTGTTCAGCACGATGCATAGCCGCACGGCTCCGCACAATGAGGGCCCAATCATTAGACACATCACTTTGTGGTACGTTAAGACTTCAAAGCTGGTGAACCACTGTGGGCTGTTTTATTTTCCGGAGCTTTAACTTTATAATGCTAATTTCTCTCTGATATATACTCTTACAATCGCTGAGGTTGTTAGTAATGGATGGGGACTTCTCTTGGTATTAATTAATAGATGGCTACACTCCTGACATTAAGATGGAGACTGCAAAATGAGCCATCCTGTGATCAATCAGTGTTTAACGATGACAAAATAAATGTCATTGAAATGCCAGGAAATTTAATTGTTGCTGCTAATGTGGATAAATCAGAAATAATTCACACATTAACACAGCTTTTCATCTACTCAGGACGCCTTGCTCCAGTGCTGGTTTTATAGAATTTTCTTCTGCTTTCTCCAAGCTTCAAACCGATCCTTTAATGTTAGCTGAGCAGAAATTACAATATTTGGCCGAGTGCCTAATGTCTTTAAAATGTGACAAAAGCCTTGCATAAAGTGGTTGGGCAATTATGAACAGGCTATTTCTACGCACTGACAGTCTATCACTGTTGGTTAAGAGGTTTGAGGCACAAGACGCATTTCAAAAAGTAATAAAAAGACTCTTTAATATCAGCAGAGGGGGCGCCGTGGAGGAAAATGCATAATGCTTTCATTCTGTAGCCTGTTCAACATGAACAGATGTATCTTGGCCAAAAAAATGAATGAGAAAACCGTTCACTTTGAAACTGGGCTTCAGATGTACTTCCACCTTACCAAGAACTTTCTTTACTGCCAATCGATCTGACATTGGGGCAGATGACGGGTTATAACTAGAGAAGTCAGCAGTCTTTCACTTAGTCCAAATGTTCACCCATGGCAACATGAACATCTGTGAAGACCACTGGTTTCCATTTCCATTTTCACTTTTCAAAAGTGAAAAATCTGAGTGCTGTTATTGCGGTCTACTTCCATTCATCCCAGCATGCTCCTCCTTAAAGCTGCCCCTCCCTCTTTGAGACTCTGAATGCACATTCTACTTTTCCATTTATTTCATAACATCTTTGGCTTTTGGCTCCCCTATTAAAAATATATTATAATACAAGACACCAGTGTACAAATTTTCAAATCGCTAATGTTTGCCTTTTAACTGATGCCAAAAAATGTGAGCTCATTACCCTAATCACTTCACTGGCTTCCAGTTCATATAAGGATTGTTTTACTATTATTTTGTATATTTTTTAATGCCCCACAACCTGCTCCAGCTGTTTGACCACTAACATGCTCCTAAGTCTAAGGTAAGTCATTGTTGTTTATCCCAAAGAGAAAGAGGAAGTTAGGGGGACCTCACTTCCTGTTTTGAAAATACGTTTTTTTTTCTCCGTTTTACCACAGCTTGAGATGTTGGCATTGTTATTGATTCTATATAACTATACTGACTATTTAATATAACTCTCAATGGGGTTCCTAGTTCACTTGTTTTGTTTGATATTGTTGTTGTTGCACTGTGGCCAATTGTGTTGTTTAAAATTAAAGTTCAGAGATTGTTTTTACCTCTCATTGGCTGATTTAAAAACTTTTCTTTGCAGTCTAATTTTTGGCTCTCATTGAACCTACTGTGCCTTCTACTCCCTTAGTGCGAATGTGCAGCGATTAGTGCCCCAGGTAGCAATCAGTTTGCTTGAATGG